CAGTTGTGCCTGGCATGACTTAGCACAGATTCTTCTGCCCCGGCCTCCTCCGACACTTACTTTCATGCCAGGGTGGAGAAGGGACAGCTGCCCTGCTGGAAGAGGTAGGGAGAGGATCTGAAGCCCTAACTGTATCTTGATCAGACTTCCAACCAGTGCTTGTGCTTTCAACCCCTGCTCCTCTCCTATTTTTCAGGAGTATCAGTGAATTTCATCCTTGAGCCTTCTTGGGTTCTTCTGAGCAAATAAGCGTGCTTAGCAGTTTCCCGCTCTGTGAGCTTGAGTTTCAGTGCGCTTGGGTCACCTTTAGATCAGACAAATTTCAAGGTTTTGCTGTTTCTGTTTCCTCTCCTGTTCTCTTTGTCCTTGTGGTTTTATGGGGGTGAGGGGATCTTCTTACTGTATTTTTGGATAATTTTAGGAGGGAGTAGAGAAACATCTAAATGAACAGTCATTCAATTTTCAACTGAATAAGACAACCACAAAAACTCTCTCTCCCAAATGGCTACTCTGACTCACCCTAAAATTAAACCACAAAATTCAAAGCATTTAAATACAAGACTATTTCACAGAAAGTGTCATTTGGGGATCATATTCAAGGGAGAAAAATTATTACAAGACATAATTACTCTCAACAGTCTCCCAACTGCTTTAATTGTCAATAATTAAGAAAAATAAAACGAATTCAGGAAAGGCTCTTAAAGGAGTGTTTTTACAATGAGGAGAATGCTTGCAAGAGAGAGAGAAAGAGAGATAAAGGTACTCTAGCACCAGAATGAAGTAGTAACAGCAAAGAAGAATTTTTAATTATTTCTCACGAGAGAGAGATCAGAATGGCCATGACTCACCAAATCAGTCTGGATCCAGTGAAAGGTAATGGCAGGAGGGAGCACAAGTGACACCTATAACTGGGTTAGAGGAATCAAGGGAATATTTTTGCAGAAAGAAAAAAGCAAAATAAGCAACCGTTAGAACGACCACCAAGGTCTAATGTATAGGTCTATGTTACAGAAAGTTCAGTAAGAAGAGGGCCCTCTAACAGGGGATCAGAAAAGTTCTGAAGAAAAAAGAGGAAACTAATGAACTCCTCTACAAGACAGAAACAGACTCACAGACACAGTAAACAATCTTATGGCTACTGGGGAAAAGGGGGTAGGAAGGGATAAATTTGGGAGTTTGAGATCTGCAAAAGTTAACCGCTATATATAAAAAATAGATAAAAAAGAAATTTCTTCTGTATAGCACAGGGATCTATATTTGACATCTTGTAATAACCTTTATGAAAAAGAATATGAAAATATATGTAATATGTATATATATATGTATATATATATATGTATATATATATATACACACACACACACACACACACACACACCTAACTGGAACATTATACTGTACACCAGACATCGACACATTGTAACTGACTATACTTCAATTAAAAAAAAAGAAAAGTTCTGAAAATTCCCCTGGAATAAACCATCCACATGCATATGTCAGATGAAAGCACTGCATAAATAGAAATCTGCTTTTGACTTCTCCATGAGGGAGGCTTTGCTCTTGGTTAACAGCTAGAAGGGTTTTCAAACAATGAGGGTGCTTCAATATTCCTGCCTTCTCTTCCTCCCTCCTCAATCCACAAGAAACAAAAGGATAAAAACAGGGGAGAGTCTTGCTAAGAAAGGTTGTCAAGGAGGATGGGGGAATGAAATCAAATTCTCACTCCTGAACCAAAACTCTGAAAAGAATCAAACACAAAACACATTTAGCCCCAGTGCCAAGAAACAGATCAGAATTCTGCAGGAGATAGAGGTTGCCTTTTGGCAAACACAGGGGACAAAAAAATGAAACAAAGAACCTCCACCAACCCTAGTACTTTGGAGCCACAGACTAGTTTTGGTGGATGTCTGTACTCTTGATCTGCAGATGCAAAGAAGCGATGGAAGAGAAACCTCAGCCAGCTGGCTTTGTGCTTAACTGGCACTTCTTCATGGATATAAAAAGGCAGTGAGAATTTCCCTTAGCACGTCACATTTAAGGATGAAAGTCCTAATCAAGCAGTAGTTGGACCTGTCAAAGGCATAAATTCAATTTTCCAAGAGCTTCAATGAAATAAAAATCTGACCCACGGGCCAATATTTGATTTCCAATAATCCGGGACAGCATATGTGGCCAGCAGTGATACTTCATTTCACAACTGAGTAAATCTGCAGAATTTGAATACTCTGGTGTCTATACCAATCTTATGCCATCAGAAATCAATGAATTACTGCCATATGGATTGTCAAGTTGCCTCAGATTCGTTCCACTGTGAAAATCCCATTTTGAAACTCAAAACCCCACAAAACTTGATTAATGACCCTCCTGCTGCACATTTAGATCATGTCCAATTTTTCTCTATTTTAAAGAATGCTTGAAATGCACAGCTTTATAACTTTTTTCTATACACATTTCCTTAGGATGAATTATTAGAAGTAAAATGGATTGGTCAAAGTCTAAAAATCATATAAAATTTGATAATACTAAAACTGTCCTACAGAAGACTGTACTGTTCCACAACTTCACCAGAGGTATAAAAAGTTGACACCATGTTTGACAGTATATCTCTTTAACCTTCACTAATTTCATGGGTGACAAATGGTCTCTTGGTTTTATGTCACATTTTTAAATTACCAATGAAGGATAAACATTTTTAATAGGTTACTGACTTATTGTAAAATGTTTAATATATTTCAAATGTTTTGCACATTTTCCTATTGGTTTTTTTTTTTTTCTCAACAGCCTATGAGAATGCTTTCCTCAAGGAAATTCACTATTTCTTTTTTCTGCATATTTTCCTGGTTTGTATGTGACATTAATTTTATGGTGTTTGATACACTGGACCACAAAGAAACTTAAAGTCTCAGGATTAGTATTTTCCTTTATGGCTTATGCCTCTTGATATGATACTTTTTAAAAAATTTCTTTCATGTTATATCCATACTTAGCTTCAAGCTAACTTAGAAAATTAAACTAGAAACAGGTAATCATCTGCCAGGGGTAGATGTCACAGAACACTGGCTTTTGTTTTCCCCAACTAAAATTTACTGGTTAAATGTCAATATAACCAAAAGGAGGAAGAAACATATGTGCCTTAGCAAGTTACATCCACTACTGCTATTCAAATGGACTGGGTTAACTCCACCAGCCCAAATAACATTTGGAGTCAGTAGCTTTAAACATTTTAATTTTAAATTCTCACATTGCTGTGCTTTTGAATCTCTCTGTCAAAGGGTTTCCACATTCATCATCCCCATCAGTCTTCAATTTGACATTGTGAGATAAGAAAGGGAGATGTCGGCTTCCCTTAGTACAGATCAGGAAACCGAAGCTCAGAAGCAATGCTGACTGGCCTGCCCAAGACTCTCCAACCACTGAGGCTTGCAGGGTGTGAAATGCAGGTCTTGTAGATGCCTGGTCTAGTATTCTTCCCACTATACCCTGAAGAGATCTTCTGATGAGAACAGAGAAGTAGTTATAACTGCAGGAGCTGGGAATAGAGATTTCGAAGGGGCATATCCTCTGGGCAAAAGAAAAAACAAAGAATGTTTTTCTTTCTACTACCTCATTCCCATTTTCTACCTGTCTTATAGCTAACTTTGTTAATGGAGAATCTCAGCCCTTGCCAAATTGTCAAACTAATTAAAAATAATTGATTTGGATAAAACATTATGCTAACGCTAGCTGGTTTAATCCTTAAGAAAGTAACAATGAAATTTATGAAATCTGAATCTGTTATTCCTAAAATGTATGTGATTTGGTAACGGAGTAAAGTATTACCAGGTCTAGTGTCTTTTTTCTGACACCACCAAATCTCTGATTCTCCAACACTGACTGGGTATCCAACAATGCCATTCAGTTTGGACACTAAGCATGTGGAGTTAGCATTAGACCCTACAGCTTAAGAGCTCAGCCTTACAGAATGCCCCCACTTCATACGCCAGCCACAAATGAGTGCTCAGGCTACCCACATTTCTGCCTGGCCCCTACAAATTTGGAGATTCTATCAAGGAAAAACCAGAACTGGACAGTAGTTAAAGCAGCAAAAACAGATTTTAACCAGTAACTATTGCAAAAGACGAAAGAGATCTCAGTATAGTGGAGATTTCTAGTCAAGAAGCAAAGTAGGGGTGAGTGGAGGAAGCATCGGGCGTAAGACGGGGTTCTGGCCAACCCACCCTAACAGGATTCTTCCTGAAATGCAGGCCGGGGTGATCAAATATCCCCTGGGGAATAGTGGTAGATGAGGAACCTTATCAGATATAGAGGGCGATCAGGTATGGAGGAGAGGGGTTCTGGCTAAACCGACTTAGGATTCTTGCTACAACTGGGCTCTTGAGGACAAGGCCCAAGAATGGAACCTCGTAGAAAAAATGACTCAAAAGAGTCTGCCTCGAGTTCACCTAGTCAAGGAGAAAGTCTTTGTCAATTTCCATGACTCAGTTTCCAGGATTCACTAGAATGACTCACAGAACTCAGGAAAGTGCTTTACTTACTGTTACTGGTTTATTATCAAGTATACAGCTCAGGAACAGCTAAATGGAAGAGCTGCACAGGGCAAGGTGTGGGGGAAGGGACATAGCCATGAGTTACTATACTGATGGTTAAGAACTATGTCACAGGTAATTAATACCTAGCTATGTTAATTGTATGAAAAAAAACATTACCACTCTATCAGAAAGGAAACACTGGAGTTAATATTCATTACTTTGTGGAAAAATATGCAAATCCATCTGCATATTTAAGGGAAAAAATTGTATTAAGTGTTTGATTTGTCACTCCCTCTTAAAAGCTACCAGAAACACATTTTAAATAACTCTTGGGTAAGATTTTTGTGGACTTGTGACACTTACCGTCTCTATCCTAAATTTAAATTAGACATACACCCAACCCCGAGAGAAACCCATGAATCTTTCACAAGTTGTTTTCAGCAAACATTCAGTTCAAGAATCTAATGATACCTTTTGCTCCACCTTCAAAAACTGAGCCAGTTCCTCCACAGTTAGGTGGTCTTTCTTGTCACTGTAGCTCAAGAGCAACAAATACAGGTCCCGCCGCAAGGACATCATTTTGTAAAATACGCAGAACTCTTCAAATGTCAAAGTTCCCTGATTCTCATCTGTATCTGCTTCCTGAAAGAGGCACAGGAAGAACAAGGCGGTGTGAGAGTTTGAAATAGGAAATTCAGTGCTGTGTAGGAGACAGTATTTACTATAAAAAAGATAATACACCTTTCACAAATGGTAAGCACATTCATTTCAAGCATACATGGATCAACTTAATAACTGACTACAGATGAGGCCACAGAAAAGTTTCACATTAGAAAGAATCAACCAGACAAAAAGGAATTTCTCCGATCACAGTAAATGAAACAATAATGAAAGCTTTAAAAAACTGTGTCTGGAAACATATGACACATTTCTAAATAGGAAATGAAACATATGGAAGTAAACACATGCACCAATATTAAAACTTGTGTAATGAAGTTAAAGCAGTTAGGGAGAAAACTGACGTTTTCAATTTATTAAAAAGCAAAGTAGATTAAAATCAGATAAGCTAATACTTCAACTCAAAAAGCTAGAAAAAACAAGTTAAGCTATAGAAAACAGAGGGAAATAAATTATAAACAAAAGCAGAATGCAATGAAATAGAAAACAAACAGATAAAACCTCAAAGGTGAGCGATTAAACCAAAAGCTGGTCGAGGCAAGGGCTCCATAGCTCAGGGGTTAGATCACTGGCCTTGTAAACCAAAAGCTGGTCTTTTGAAGTAGCATTAAAAAAAAAGAGAGAAATCTTGCACAAGACTAACCATGAACAAAAGAGAGAAAACACATTTAACACATGATGAAAATAGCAGTCTCTCATCAGCTTCTGAACTGCAATTCAATGAAATGTTATTTTCATCTATGCCAGTATCTATCTTAATTCGGCACAGGTAGCTCATTGCTCTGACAGCCGTCAGCAGCATGGGCACCTCTCTGCTTTTCCTCCATGGAAACTGAAAAAATTCATCTGGACTGAATTCTAATTGGAATTATTTGTTCCTAGTAATTATTGAGCAAGAATCTTTCACCACGTACCTTCAGATCGGCTGAATTTGTCATAAAGCTGTTGGGGATATACTATGAGCAACCAACCCAGTTACATGATCTTCTTTATTTTAAATGAACACAGTTGTAACAAAAACTGACCAGTAATGAATGGCATTTTGAAATGCATAGATTTTGTGATGTGTGGTCACATGGTGTGTGGTTTTAAACAAAGTTTTGAAAGTCAAAGTGCATATAAAACATTTTTTTAAGGTTTGCAAACTTTGGATAAGTTATGAGCCAACACTGTGACCCACGTTTAAATCATACACAGTTTCTTTGTGAGGCTGATTGCTTTGCCTCCCATCACTTTAAAGGCAGAGATAGACTGATCTACAGAATGCCAACATTTTTGGTGTTTGAGGACCTTGGTTGTAGAATCCTCACACCCTAAGAACTAGGTCTAAGGTTCATATTTCTGCCATAACTTTGTTTCAAAATATCTAACCCCGGATAGAGAGCTGAAACATTTTTTAAGACTTCCTTGGAAATGCCTCAACAATTAAGAACAGTTAAGCTCTGAGGTTTAAACAACAGCATCAAAGACTTCAAAAGAAGCGACCCATACCTTAAAGGATTGTTTTCTAAAAAATCGGTTGAATCTTGCACTGCAACAGGAAGGCAAAGAAAATTCTAGGAAGGCTTTAATGTCTTTACCAGCAATTCTGTCCAAAAAATTTTTTTTAAAAAAGAAGGAAAGAAAACGTTCCTTAAAATACTACCAAGATCCTTGTTCCCATCCATCTGAGCACTTAACAGAACCTGCCACATGCAAGACCTGTGATAGAAATATCCCACATACAGAAGGCCCAGCTGCTTCTTCAGTCACACCCGGCTTGAGACATCTTTAAATCTTTAAATCTAAAGTCATAAGAAGAGATCTTAATGTTTTCTTAAAATTTCTCTAAAGTATTTACTTTGAACTTGCAAAGACATTTGACATAAACATTTCCTGGTTTACCCTCTAAAATACTTGATATGTTAGAGATAAAAGGTGTCTGAAGAGGGAAAAAATACAGAAGTAAAACCAGTTCAATATCTTATTTTCTTTCTTTCTTACTTCCAAAAAGTACTGCCCAAATCATCATTTCTGTAGGTATAGACTTTGCCCTCCTCTTTATGCTTGGCCTCTCTGGCTTCAGAAGCAGCTATCTCCCCCGTACCATGAACATCTCCTATGGGAAGGAACAGATGGGGAGACAGGGCTCCCCACAACAGGACAAAAGTGAGATGTCACCAGGAAGGCCAGGAACATGGCAAACCTCTCCATACAGTTTAAAGACAGTTCACTCCTTGCATGACAACTAATTTCCCCTCCAGAGTCCCTCACTCCATCTCTGGTTCCTTCCACAGCCTATCTCATTCTTCCTCTTCTTTCCTTTCCCTCATGTTGTTCCTCAGTGCAATGGGACTTTGCACTGATGTTTCCCCCAGCATAACCATCTCCAGCTTCTAAGGACAGGACCACAGGATCCGTGACTATAAGAGGTCACAGATCTATGCCAGCCTCCATCTTCCATTCATTGCTGCCACTCACGCCTCACGTTGTCTCTGCCCTTACCACCTCTGACAGCATGTAGCTAGGAAACAAAATCTCTTTCGGGGAGGGGACAAACTCAGTGGCAGAGCCCAGACATAGCATGTGTGGGGTCCTGGGTTCAATCACCAGTATCTCCATTAAGATACATACATACATACATACATACATACATACACCTAATTACCTCCCCCTCCAAAAATAAAATAAATAAAATGTATATGGAAATTCAAATGACCTAAAACAGCCAAAACAATTTTAAAAAATAAATATAAATAAACCTAATTACCAATTACCTACCCCCCTAAAAAAAGATGAACATTTTTTAAAAAAGGAAAGAAAGGAAGCACAAAACATTAATCATAAAATACCACCCCTATACTTATTTTTACACATAAACAAATATCACCTACCTAGTCACTTAGAAAATCATTGCAAAACATAGATTATGCATATGACTTCTCTCCAAATAAGAGCCTTTCCTAAATTAATATTCCAGTTAATTACTAGCAATGACATTATTTTTGCACCAACTTCAACTTAACAGAAATCACTTCTGCTCCTTGGATGGAAGAGTAAATACAGCCCCACCTGGGCACAGCAGGTGAGTTCGGGCCCAAGGACTTTCCTCAAGGACCTACCCACAGGGAAAGGGCGTCTCATCTAACACCAACAAGCAGAGGAGTGAATTTCTGGACAGCTTCCTAAATGGTAGGAGTGATACAGCACTTCTAAGCCTTATGGATTCTAAATCTTAAACTCCTCCGAAACAAAATAGAGGGCTCTTGAGGATTTTGCCAAGGGCTATTTTTTCACGTTACTTCGTCTTTATTCTGATCCTCACAGCAGCCTGTGACATCAGCAGATGAGATCTTATCACCCTCTATAGGGGAACTGATCAAGTTACCCCATTATTTAAGTGTCAGGTGCCTATAATTACTCTCCAAAAACAGCAGCGCTAATATCAAAGCATTTTAGTAAGTGAAATTGTGGATGCAGGTTAAGTTTAGGAAGCATTTCTTTTCCTTGAGGGAATACAATTTCTCTCTCTTCAAAGAAAAAGAGAACAACATAGAGCAGGTAATATCAACCTCCAACAAGACATAATAGTCTTTTGAAATATCTCAGCACATCAGTAACCTCCCATGTGTATATTATGTAAAGACAACCCCACGGGAAAACATACCTGAAACATTTGTCTGACTTTTCTCCGCGGCAGATTGACATTTAGTTTATGCATCAGTTGGTGTATCTCTTCAATGTTCAATAAGCCATCACCATTCTTATCAGCTTCCTCAAAGGTCTGCTTCACCCACTTGCAGAAAAGTCAAGAAAAACTCTCGTGTTTTTGTCAAAAGAAAAACTGCTTTCCTGCAATATTCACAGGACATTCATCATTAACACCAAATTTGAGAAGAAAGTCCTTTAAGGAGGCCCTGCAATCACAGGCTTCCAGTTTCATGAGGTACTAACAAAGACAAGTTCCAGGTTTGCAAATATAAACTACTATATATAAAATAGATAAACAACAGGTTTCTACTGTACAGCACAGGGAACTATATTCAATATCTTGCAGTAACTTATGGTGAAAAGGAATATGAAAACGAATGTATGCATGTACATGTATGACTGAAACATTATGCTGTACACCAGAAATTAACACATTGTAATGGACTATACTTCAATTTTTTAAAAAAATTTAAAAATAAAAAAGAAATGGGGGGAGCACATATAAGTGATTCCCTTCACCATGAAATGAGACTCAAACCAAATCATTGAGAAGCTTTTTTAACTCAAATATTTTATCTAAACAGTTAAAGCATCTCAATGATGTAAGGAAACCCCAAAGACACCAAATTCAGGCCTTATCTTCTCCCTCCGTGATTTTTGCATCAAGTACTTTTTTTACCTTCATAATACCCCACACTACATGATCTCTTCAATTCCCTTTTCTCAGTCCCACACTCATATTTAGAAATTTAGACCGTCTTGTTCAGTCTCCTCATTGTTCAGATAAAAGAAGAGAGGGAGAAATTTGGGAAGTACTAGTAAGAGAACTGGGCTTCACACCTATGTCTCTTGCAACCTGGTCTAGCATTCTTGTCTTCTATACAGAAGGCCTGTCTCTATGCTGTGCCTCTTCCTACTGCTAAGCTTTGCTGGTTCTTACCTAATAGACCCCAACTTCTGAATCAAGCCTGACAGGCTAGAGTTTGCTCTCAAAGCTCAGGAATGACACCAGATGCCTGAGGACATGAGTTTAGACACAAAGAACTTACATCATGTGAAGAGAGATTTGAAAAGACCCTCTGGAAGACGAGCCTTGGGTTGTTTTACATCATGAGGAACAAGAGTATGGCAACAAATGGAAGAGTTTTAGCAGGGGGCTTTTTAAAAATGTATGATTCATAGTTCATAGTTGTTGGGGGTAAATTACAGAAGCTAGGAATGGTGTGTATACTTAGTAAACCAAACTGCGCTTCAAAATTCAAAGGGCAATGAAAAGAGGAAAAGAATGAAGGTGATGGAATAAAACCAGTAGGGAAAGGCTTAGGTTTAAATCCAAGAAATGGGAGAATGGGAGTAGGTCAGAAGAAAGGATGAATGAGTAATATTCGTTTATCAAGCAGGTGACATCAAACTGAGAGATTTTCATTTAAGACAAAAGACTAACTAACGTCCCAGTACTAACTCAGAACACTTACATTTCTTACAGGAGTCAAATTATGACTATAGGAGATTGTACCTTATAAAGTAAAAACAACCAGAAAGTTAAAGTCTTATTTCTTCTAAAGTAAAATAGAAGTGATTTTTCAATAGCAACTACCTGTTTCACATTTTGTCCCCTTTGTAACACTTGAAAATAACCAGCCCAGTTCTTCCAATTTCAACTGTTCCTCGTAGAATTCAGGCAGGACCTCATTCGATATGATACCTAGAAGTTCAAGGGTGACCCAGGACTAGGGGAGAAACGACTGAAGAATCACCAGAGTGAATCACTTGGGCCAATTACTAGTAAGTACCTGAATCCCATTTTTCCCTGTTTTCTGGGAACACAGTGTCCACTTCATAAGCTCTATTTCTGTTGACCGTAACTCTGCTCTGTGCCCCATAACATAAATTCAGTAAAGAAGTGATGAAATGAGTCCAAGGATAGCAGTATTTTCGTCCTTTTATTCTGTACTTCTTTACCCAAGCATCTCACTGACTTCTCCAGAGAATAAGCAGAGGCCAGCAAACTCTACGCATGGATATTCTGCAGAAACAAACCATTTTGGGTCAGCTTGTCTCTGCAAGACCTTCAGTGTCAACACACAAGCTGGTGTTGATGATCAGTCTAGGAGACATGGGGTTGGTAAGGCAGAAACAGAGGTAGCATCGGACCAAGAAATACACACCAGTTGGGGTTCTATGCTGACCTGGCCCTGTGACAGAGGGCCACTTATATCACTTCTTGGGGCTTCTACTTCTTCATCTACCTTGTCAGTGGGCACAACTAGATGACCTTGAAGCCCCTTCCAACTCTAAGATGCTATGAAAGGAAAAACCATTCTCTCAGTAACAGTACATATGGTATAAGATACAACGGCAGGTAAAAGTATTCTGATATCTCAAAGTTCTTCTTCATAATTAAGATATGAGCACCCAAGAAAGCCCTGAATTAATGGTTCACAGCCATGTGCATGATAAATTTAAGAAAAGAGATAGTAATTCCACAGAGAAAAACTAGGAGAGTAAAAACTGAATGAGAAGTTACAGCCTCATTTTTTTTTTAATCAAAAAACTTTGGAAGAATGTTAATAAAGCATTGAATGCTATTATTTAGTGCAGGATAGGGACATTTTTTCTGTAGAGGACCTGATAGTAAATATTTTAGGTTTTGCAGGCCATTCGCTCTTAATTGTAACTACTCAACTCTACCATTGTTACCAGAGACAATCCACAAGTGAACTGGCATGGTTATGTTCCAATAAAACTTTATCTGTGGATGCTGAGATTTGAATTTCATAAAATTTCATGCATCACAAAATTTTATTCTTCTTTTGATTTTTTTCAACCATTGAAAACCCATTCTTAGCTCAGGAGCCCACATAAAAAGAGGTGCTGGGCCAGATTTGCCCTCCAGGCTGCAGTTTGTAGGACTCCTGATTTACAGGGAAGGTGTGAGGCTTCAGTTTACAACATCCATGGGACTGCCTCAAGTCTTCTAGAGGTGAAAATTTCCCTAGTGGTATTGACAGGTAAAGTGGGGGAATCATGGAGGAAAAAGATCTGACAGATGAAAATGCTGAGATTGGGCACCAATGCCATCATCTTTGCGTGCTGGGGCCACCGAGCTTTCAGATGTCAATCTATCTGAACAGGAAAGCAAAAGATTAGCCAATCCTGATCTCTTGTGAGCAATTACAGTAGCTACTATCTATAAAATGCCTACTATGTGCTGGACAGCATTCAAAGCACTTTGTGTATAACAACTCATTTGATCATCACACCACTACATAGGGTGTGTGCTATCATTAGCATCATCACCATGTTAGATAAAGACTCTGAAGCAGAAGAGCTGAGGTGACTCCTTCAAAGTTACACTGTACATGGCAAGGTCGGGGCTGAACCCCAGACAGGGCAGCACCCATCTCAGTCCTCAAACTAGATTGCTTCTGACTGAAGTGAGTGCTGCATCTGCTGCCATTCCACATGGCCATCCTGCAGAAGTAACTTGGATTTCACTTTACACTGGATGGATTTTCTTCATACAACCATTTAAGATTCATTAATCTCATTATTCATTCCCAGTTGAAATTTTCAGGCCTAACTGAAATGTAATGATAATGAACATCCCAGCTCTGTTCTCCTCAATTAACGTAATTAAATGTGTATCAAATCAAGAATGTCATTCTATTATTAAGATATTATCTAAACCCTTACCAAATTCTGACAAATCTGTATGAGAGTGGTTCCCTGACTCAACATAACTTTCCCTGTTTTTGACATCAGCTTTCTCTTCATTATTCATTAATTTCCTGTTTCTTTTTCTTTCCTCACTGTCATAAATATCAGCTCTTCTGTATTTTCTCTGTGTAGTTCTGGGGTACACTTGCTTTCCGGATAGCATATTTTTCAGAATAGGAAATTCCTCAGCCCTTAATCTGATTAACTTACATATGAAAACATTCCATTGCTAGTAAACATGGACAAAACAAGTTAGGTTCAAAAACCTATTCACCTGAGCTGGTATATATTCAAGCTAGAATATTAAAACTTTAGGATGTTAAATATAATGGCCAAAATAGCCACCAAGAAAACAGCTATAGAATTTACACAAAAGGAAATGAGAAAGGCATTTAAACACTTTGCTATGAAAAAATCAACACAAAAGAAGACAGTAATGCAGGAAACAATGAACCAAAAAAGCTATACAGCATAAAGAAAAGAAACAGCACAACATGTTAATCCTTCCTTATCAATAATCATTATAATGTAAATGGATTAAACTCTCCAATCAAAAGACAGATAGACAGAATAGATAAAAACTCATAACCCAACTTATGCTATCTATAAGAGACTCACTAGAGATCTAAAGACACAAAGAGCTTGAAAATGAAAGGAAAGGGAAAAATATTCCATACAAATCATAACCAAAAGAGAGCAGGGGTGGCGATACTAACATCAGATAACAGACTTTAAATCAAAAAAAGTAATAAGAGACAAAGAAGGACATTATGCATTAATAGAAGTCTCAATACAGCAAGAAGATAAAGCAATTATAGACATTTATGCATCTAATGACAGACTATCAAAATGTATACAGCAAAAACTGACAGAACTGAAGGGAGAAAGAGACAGTTCTACAGGAATACTTGGAAACTTCAATTCCTCACTCACAATGATGGATAGAACAACCAGACAGAATTAAGAAAACAGAGAATTTAAACAACACAATAAACCAACTAGATCTAACCGACACATACAGACACTCTATCCAACAACATATACATTCTTCTCAAGTGCATAGGGGACATTTTCCAGGATAGATTATATTTTAGGCCACCAAGTAAGTCTCAGTAAAAAGACAGCAGAAAGAAGGAAATAAGAGGAGAGTGGATATGAAATAGAAGAACAATTGAGAAAAATCAATGAAACCAAAAGTAGTTCTTTCAAAAAAAAAATCAAGAAAATTGACGAACCTTTAACTGGGTGGACAAAAAGAGAAAGAGAAGAGATCAGTACTAAATCAGAAAGCAAGGTGGGGGCATTACTACCTATTCTACATAAATAAAAGGGACTGTAAGAGACTACTGTAAACCACTGTACACCAGCAAATTGGATACCTAGATGAAATGGACAAATTCCTAGAAACAAAAAATCTACCAAAACTAAACCACAAAGAAATAGAAAATCTGAATAGATTTATACCTAGCAAGGATATTGAATCAGTAATCAAAAATCTCTCAACTAAGAAAAGTCCTGGATTTGATGGCTTCACTGGCGAATTCTATCAAATACTTAAAGAACAAATACCAATCCTTCTCAAATTTTTCCCAGAAAACTGAAGTGGAGGGAACACTTCCTAACTCATTCTATGAAGCCAGCATAACACTGATAACAAAGCCAGACAAAGACACTGTAAGATGACTACAGACCATTATCTCTTATTTACATTGATGCAAAAATCTTCAACAAAATACAGTTGACCCTTGAACACCTTGGGTCTGAGATATGTGAGTGTACTTATATGTGGATTTTTTTTTCAATAGAGAAGTACTGCAGCACTACTCAATGTGCAGAACCTCGGATTTGGAGGGTCAGCTGTAAAGTTATACTCAAATTTTCAACAGCTCGGAAGGTCTGTGCCCTAACGCCTGCATTGTTCAAGGGCCACTAATAAATAAAATTCAACAGCATGTTAAAAGGATTATACATCATGACCAAGTGGGATTTATTCCTGGGATACAAGGATGGCTCAACGTATGAGAATTAATCAATGTAATATGCTGTATCAACATAATGAAGAAAAAAACCCACAATCATCTCAACTGATGCAGAAAAAGCATTCAACAAAATTCAACATCCTTTCATGATAAAAATATTCAACAAAACAGGAATAGAAGAAAACTACCTCAACATAATGAAAGCCATGTATGAGAAAGACCACACCAAATACTACATTCGATAACTAGAGACTGAAAGCGTTTCCTCTAAGGTCAGGAACAAGACACGGATGCCTGCCTTCGCTGCTTCTGCTCAACATAGTGCTAGGAAGTTCAAGCCAGAGCAACTAGGCAGAAAAAAAAAAAAAGAAAAAAGAAAAAAGAAAAGAAAAGAGAGAAAAAGAAAAGGCACCCAAATTGGACAGGAAGAAATAAAATTATCTCTGATTTTAGATATGATCTTATATGTGGGAAACTTTAAAGATTTGCAGAAGAGCAGAGCAATACCACCCTTCTCACTAATTTCTTTTGCTTTGAAAAAGTTATTTTTCATAAAAACATGTCAATATGTAATAGAGTTTATCATATTTTAATGAGATATTTTTGAAGTTCCCATATTTAATTTCTAATATGACAGCAGATGGAACCCAAATAAAAACTCTTTGGAGTCTTCAGTTTTTAAGAATGCAAAGCATCCTGAGAGCAAAGTCCAATTATGTTCATTTCTCTTGTCAGAGGTGGGTTTAGGATGGGTCTGCAATTGCATTTCTGGCCAAACTCCTGGAAACTTTTCCTTTGCTCTTAAAAAAAGAGTTTATGAGAAGAAACTCTGCTTCCTCTGGGCAGGGCTTCTCTGCGTTTGGAGCTGCCACAGATCTCTTTAACCCAAAGGTATCCAGCTATAGGACCAAGCCAACACGTCAAGAATGGCAGAACCAAGTCTCTGATGACATTACTGAGCCACTGAATTAACCAACTCTTGAAACTGCTCCACCTCAGATTTCTTGTGCATGAGAAAATGAATATTCTTTATTGTTTCAGGCACTGTTAGTATGGTTCTGTGGTTAGCCCCAGAAAGCATTCTTAATGATTCAGTATTCGTTTTTTATCAAATGTAAAGGAGTTAAGACCCAAACTTACAGAAAAAAAGCACAGTAAATTAATCCCTATGTTTGTGTTTTGTTCATTTATGAATCCTAGCTGCATTTAGCTGCATGTTGTAAATACTGATGGAAACATCATGACTTATCAGCTAAGACCTTTGCACTGTCGACATCCTTTTATGGACTGAGTATTTCCACTCTGCTCCAACAATACCCTGGGTGAGGGATTATAGCCAGAGCAGCACAAGTTTATCACTCCTGGAAAAAAATTCGGGTGCAAGAGCAAGGAGGTAGCACTATTCCCCACATAGACAAGGGGATCATGTTACTTTAAGACCGTTCAAAATGTGAACAAGGAAACCAAAGCAGTCAGCAAATCTAATACCCTCAATTTACAGAGAAGGAAACTGTGGCCAGAAAGGCCAAGCATGTCACGTGAGCAGCTTGAACCCAGCAGAAGCGGTACCTTCAGACCAAGCACACGAATCACTGATCTTGTCAGCACCGCAGGACGACGACAATAGGTTTAATCAAGAATGAGGCTCGGACTCCACTTCCTTGAACCGTTAGAGAGGGTCAACCCTGTTAAGTAAAAATAACTTCCCCTTGAATATCAATCAGTTCAGTTTCCAAACTGTGAATTAAGAAGAGAGAAAATGCAGGAAGGAACTTAATACCGGGCACATAATTGGAACCCAAAAAGCATTTGTTAAACTAAACGGGCTTCCTAAGAAAGCAGGATTTTCTCTACTTCAAATAGGTGCTTCCCTAGCTACCTCATCTCTCCTAGGAAACTTCAGGCTGCATTTGGAGACTTCTCAGATCGTGACGCCAAATCCAGGCTCCTCAGAAGAAGCCTGCTCTTGAGTCCACACCAGCTCAACTTCCTACATGTTCTGTATGTTTGTTTACTTGGGGTGAGAGCGAGGAGGGGACAGAAAAGTGCTCGGGAGAGGTAAATGAAGAGACAGTAAGGAAAGTGGCTTTAAGCCTCAAAATTATGGGAAAATAGTCTAATCCTTACACACACACACGTACACGCACAGTTCAAATTTAACATTCTAGGGAGGATATTGGTCGTGGGTCCTCTGCCTTTTAGCAAGAGAGTCTTCGTCACTGATGCCAGCCATCAGGTACTTGAGGCCTGTGATCCAGGTGCGGGCCTCCTCGGGGTTGGAGGTGATGAGATCCAGGGACTCCATGTGGTTGCCATGGTAGATGGTGAAGCAGCAGCTGGGGTCGAAGCTCCCCTCAGCCTGTCTGTGGAATATCTCAGACTGTCGGCCCTCAGTGACTTTGTAAATGGAGTCAATAAGAACTGTGGGGGAAGGGGGAGACACAGTTACGTGGCAGGTGAAGATAAGCGTACGGATTAAGAGAAAGAAAAACCAGATCATCTTAAAATCTAAAAATAAGATCAACACATCCATCATCTGTGAGCTGTGGTGTGACGTTCAAATGTGAAACAAAGCTTCGTTTCCTGCCAGGAACCTTCTCCACGTACCCCTTTACCTCTCCCAGGTGTTGGGTCGGGATGTGTTGAAATTTATGACAGTAAGACAGATATGCCCGGCAGGGCAGGAAGACTGGGAGAAAAGGGGGCTATAATATGTCAAATGTGTGGTGTCTACATTTATGCAGGGAAAACATACAAAGACCTAGAGCCGACTTTGGTGACTTATAATATGCGTAAGATGACAGTTCAATGTTGAAGGGAAAAAAAACACATTTGGTAGGAACTGAACAGCAGAGCTAAATGTGATTGGGATTTATAGAGAGAAAGCTGTGAGGGTGAAGGCAGAGCAGAGCTTAGAGAGGCGGGGGCGGGGAACCAGGTGGCGGTCCAGGGGAAGAGACATGAAGACACGGAAACGCTGGGCCCACAGCAGGGATGCTGAACAGGCTGTTTACGCTGGAGTGAGAAGCTCAAGAGGGAGAGTAACGGGAGACAAAGCTGGAAAGGTAGGTAGAGGCTAGATCTGGGGGAGCTGGAGTGAGACCAGAGATCAGCATTAGTTAGGTGGGGCAGCCACTGCAGGTCTGCATCAGAGAAGCATTGGAAAGGAGGATTACTTTAGATTAAAACACTGTTTTTTGTTTGTCTGCTTACTTGTTTTGGCACATGAATGAGAACTGTTGCATTTTTTTTAATATCTTCTTTGGGGGAGCAGCTAATTCGGTTTATTTTTCTATTTATTTAATGGAGGTACTGGGGATTGAGCCCAGGACCTCATGCATGCTAAGCACGCACTGTACCACTGAGCTGTACTCTCCCCCCTGAAGTGCTGCAATCACATTGATTGCCCATATACACCATCCACCCGTCTGCTCTGCCTTACTGGCAGAGTCCCAATTTTTCTCTCTTTCAAGTCATTCTCCATATGACTCACAGGGAAATGAGCCTGTGTCCAGCCCCAGGGCAACTTCTGGTGGGTCTAAGCCTTTGGGGTGGCCCCATCGCTATGTCCTCTGACTGACTGAGTTGTGGGAGCATAACCCAATTCTAACCAAGGAGACACGGGCACTCTGCTTTGAGGGAAGGGCCTGGGAAGGGGTTCTTCCCTCCTAAAAAAGGAAGAGATGGACCTTTTCTGCATCTTCACGATTCTAGCAGTTGTGAAGCCATGTTACTGCTGCCTCGATTACAAGGTCAACACACAAGGGACAGAGCCAAGATCACTCAGGGAAACAGAACTAGAGACTCAGTACCCCACACCTGTGGCCAGACAATCTGCGCTTCTTGTTATGCCAGAGAATAAATGTGTGCATCGTGTAAGCCTGATTTCATCCTGGTCATCTGTGACTTGGACAGGAAAGCATCTTAACTGACAGGGGCAGAAGAAATTACAGAGTGGAGACTGGTTAGGAGACTTCACAATAGGCCACTAGAGGCCAAGTTAAAGAGAACCTGGGTCAACAAGGTTCCTGTGAAAACAGGAGGGAAGGAGCAGATGAAGAAAGACATGACAGAGGACCAAACGCGGACTTGGCACTGAGTGTAGAAGGTGTGGGAGAGGCTTTATGGAGGAGGCAGATCAAAGCTATTTTACTCGATATCATTAAAACAACTCTGTTATCTTATTCATCAGTGAACTGTGCTCAGAATATGGCTATATACATTAAATCCCATTGGATTTATGATGTTCTTCACTTTTTATAGGAAAATAAAAGGCCTTTAGTGTAAAATCTCAATATCCCAACTTAAAAAAAATACATGTCTCCAGTACAGGGGAAATATTACCATTTATTGCACTCATGGGTAGGAAAACTTTTACAGACTTAAATTCCCCCAAAATAATTAACAAAAGAATAAATGGTCATCACTTTTTTGGTCTCTCCACATTCTCTAATAACTGACCCTAAAACCTGCAAAAATAGGAAAGTTCTACAGATCTGAAGCTTCCACAGAGCCCACTCAGTTATAACCCATGTGTTACTTTGTCAAGCCAAGCAAAGAATCCAGAAGATGTCCTTACTTTTTGCCTTCTCGCTCTTCCGAGAGGGTCTCCATCGGAGGCGAGTCCGGTGCTCATCCAGGTAAAAGAGCCGGACGAGCCCTTTGGTCCCGCGCTTCAGTTTGATCATCTGTGTCCCCGACTGCATCACACTCATGCATCTTTCAACTGCAAACAAGATCACAGCACATTCAGCTCTCACCCAATGCACGTGTGCCCTGATGTTCAGAAATCTTACTGTCAAATAAAACCTCTGACTCACACTCTCAAAACGCCAAGGACCACAAGACAAATTTAGAAGAGGTAATCTGGAAAGAGCAGTTCAAGAATTGATTCATCAGGCTTAAGCCAGTAAAAAGTCTTACTGACGGAAATAAAATTCTACTCCTAGATAAACAATGCGTTACTGCTGCACAGAGCATCTTTTGTTCTAACTGGCAACACGCTTTTTGGTATAAGACCGACGGTAATTTGATACTTGAATTTATGTTCATAAAGCAAGTTCTCAGACTGCATGTTAAATTTTGTGAGCTTTTATATAGCCAGCTGTAAAAACATCCTATGATAATACTTTAAAATTCAATTAACAAAAAACATGATTGGCAAAATGTTTCAGCAATTGTTGAAGGTGGATGATGGCAGTATATGGGTTTGTATTATTTTAATTTTAGGTATGCTTGAAAATAGCTAAACAAATCTTTTAAAATGTGATCAGAAAAAAATCAAGCTTTCACAATTGAACATAAAATGTTTATTAATGAATTTAGCTGCTAGAATTTTCTACCTAGGGAAATAAGCTGACTGAACTCAGGTAAAATCCAATCACTTATTATCCATGTTAATGCTCTCATTTAAATTCTCTGCTTTGAGATGAACCTTGATGGAAGTGGGCATCTGCTGGTGTTGCCTGTTTCCCTTTCTTTGTTAATAGCACCCACTTTTCCTTTGGAAATACTTCTTTCCCATTTCATGTGCCTTTGGTGGCCTGTCACCTCAGTCAAGAAATGGGCACCTGACTTAACCTTAGAGCAAATCTGACTCCCTTCTAAGAAGCATGAATCCTGAGTAGAACACTGAATGAAAACAGAACCGAACATTTCAAAGGCCAAGACTAAACGGCTGCTCTTGACTGGCTACCCCGAGATGTTACAGTTGTCACAGTTGCTCTTCCTGAGGCTAGCAAATTATTCCATTTTTCCCTGGGTTCTGCAAGTTATAGAATACTCTTCCAAATATCCTTTTTTTCATTGCATCACACAGAAACAGCTTCTGTTTCACCGACTAATATTCAGGCACACATGTAACCATTAGAGCACCAGAAACAACCGGCTCTGTGTACCTACCTCATCAAGTAGTATGCTGTTAGATAAAAGAACTGCAGTAAATAAACCTCAACAGTGTTAGACTTCAGCTTTTTTGGCTAACTTGTTTTTACTAGGAGAGAATTTGATCCCAAAGCTCAACACTGTGAGCACAGATTACTCAAGTAACATCAATATAACCAATTTTCACTCTTTCTTCCATGAAGAGCCTTTTCTTCCCCCAAGGAATGAAGGGAAGGACCACATAAAATTAAGGATGGTTTTAGGATTTGACACTGCCAGAAAGGAGAAGTATAGGTTGCTCTTATTCACTTCATCTGACATGTCAGACACGCAAGTAATAAAAATACTACTTAAGAAAACAAACACACAAACTTAAAATGCTTACTTTGAAGCACAGGACAAAATTTGAGATTTGGCTTTATGCACATTAGTAAAACTTACCCACCACTGAGCCCCATTCATTTAGGTAATGAGAGCCACAGATGTGAATTCTTGACAGCTACCCTGCCCATCCCACACCAGTAATTAGAAGTAGAAGAACAGAAGAGAGTCAGTGCATCAGGATAAAGTCATCAAGTCAAACCAAGCAAGCCAGACTCCCAGAAAAGTCTATTAGAGCTTCTGTGGCCACTGACATTAGGTCTCATCAGGAAACAGATATTCACAGAGCAATCCCTACTCCAGGGTTATATAATGAGGCAAAGCAGACAACAAGGAGACTCTGTCTTGGATTTAAAGAGGTTAAATTTTAAGAGAATGAAATCTCTAAAGAGATATTTTATTAATGGCAGTTTAGAGCTGTGGTCAAGAACACAGAATTTGGATCCAGACATCCTGGGACAGAATTCCAGATCCGCCATATACTAGCTCTATGACCTTGGGCACAGTATTTAATCCCTCGGTGCCTGTTTCTTCATCTATAAAATAGGAATAATATCATTTACCCCTTGAAATGTTAAGGGCTGAATGAGTTAATTCATGTAAAGTACTGAAAACAGAAGCTATTATTATAGTTTTATTATTGAAATTAAAAAAAAATGCCAAGACAAAAATACATGTGGGAGTCCCTGGTAAAAGAGAATATGATGTGCTCCAATGGAGAGAAGTGTAATAACCCAATGGTAATAAAACAGTGTCAGTAGAGATTTGGGGACAGGAAAGAGCAGGGCTATGATCAGAGGATAGGGAAAGATGACCCTCTGTCCTTGGTACCTAAAAGGGAATTAAGAGGATACATGATTTTGGGGGCTGGATAAGACTAGGTGTGGGGGGTTGGGAATGCCAGATAATAAGATTTTAATCCAACAGCAATGCAATGAGATTTACAAGATACTTCTGAGCAATGGAGGGGGTGGGATAAAAGATATAATTCAGAAAGATGTTTGGGAAGAGAGAATAAAATGAATTGTTTACATCAGGGAGGAAAACTGAATTAACTGCACCATCAAAGATCTAAAGCAAGGACTGCAGACCTCTTACAAGGACTGTCTACATCCGACACAGTGCCCTCTTCTTTGTTCACACTGCACCTCCCTTCCCTCTGTTTTTCCCAGCCCCATTTCTCTTTTCTGAAATGGAATCGCTATGACTACAACATCAACATTTTAACAGGAAAAGCACAAAGATATAAAAGCTTAATCTGTTACGTGAGCTACTAAATACCACCTACCACTTGACAAGCATCATCCAAAGAAACGCAACCATTTTAGAAAGTGGGATCCAAGCCCTCAGAGACAGAGTGCGCCTGAATAATATATTAAATGTTCACTAGCTTCACATTTATCCCACCAACTCAGCCACGGGCTAAGATGCCAGCATCATCCACTGCAGCAAACAAGTATAAATAGTCAAAACGTCCTTGGCAGGGCTGGCATCTGAAACAACGTGCTACTTAAATTATTTACATAGCTGCCTTATGCTTTCTCCATGATGTTCCCTATCACACAGAAACACCATTTGGTTAAAGTCAAATTGAAAAATCAAGTCCAGGAAAGTCTTGAGACTTCTCCCTTCCTCAAACCTGGGAGTAGACAGTCCACTAGAGCTGTGCAGCTAACCAGAGACAGAGCCCCCCAGCCATTCCTCATAACTCATCCCTCTGAGTAATAATCACCCATGTCCAAGACAAAATATTCTTCGAGTGTCATCTAAGTTACTTCAGGGTCAGCATAATTTCTCCATGTTCTGTCTTCAGTTGAGATAGATAACAGTAATTACCACTCTCTATAAAAGTCATTCTCCAGTCATGCTGGATCAGTAGATTCCATAAAATCAGATGAGAAACAAGGGAACAAAGGCAAGACTCCAGTGGCAGGTAAACAAGGGAAGCGTTCTGGAGGCTTCGGATGACATAACCTCATCACACATTCTGAGTACTGGAAGGTGTCTGGGGCAAGTCTGTAATACAGGCTACAAATTCAGGCAGATACCAACAATCTCTTTGATCCCACATTCTCCCTCTGGTATCCTTAATATTTTTAGAAAAGTTTATTTGGATACAGTGCAGCAATGTTCAAGAATGTTAAGGGAAAGAACCTACTGTACAGCACAGGGAACTATATTCAATTTCTTATAATGACATAATGGAAAAGAATCTGAAAAGAAAAAATATGTATGTATGTTTATGTATAACTGAATCATTTTGCTGTACACTTGAAACTAACATTGTAAATCAACTACACTTCAATAAAAATTTAAAAAAAAAAGAATAAGAGAGGAACAGCCATTTGCCCATTATATAACACACACACTGTTCTTGTCCATTATGCCCCAGATCTCAATATGAACACAAATTTGACGTACTGGTTGCAATCCTGATATTTCAGCCATTTGGCACTCTGCTTTTTTTCATTTGTATTATAAACAGCTTTCTATGTTTCTACACCATCTTAATAATCATTTTAATTGCTGCCTAACAGAATAGCATAAATATTTAAAGAGCAGAACAGATGAGTAGGGAATTACATTTCCAACATTATTACATAATTAGAGTTTTAAAACTCTTAACAGAGTCTCATCTGTAAAATGAAAGGCACAACAAAGTGCTCTATGACGTCCTTTAGAATTCAACTCTTTAAAAGGATTAAATCAATCGTTTCTGCCACAGTCAGTTTAAAATGAGTAAAGTTCCTCGGGGGTTATCAGCTCACTAAGTTCCTCAAGCAGAAAATGCTGTTTAAAAATACACTTCTGAGTTGAAGTTCTGTGATAGAAAGTACATTTGGGTGAGGGGGGCGAGTTCCCAACATTCCTGCTCAGGCTAGATGGCATCCCAGAGGGTTTACTTCTTCAAGCCAAGGTTGAATAAGAGATAACCACATCCTGTTAGGAATGCCATACATGCCACCTGATGGTGATCTGTTTTAGTAGCTTTGAGATATAACTTACATACATGAAAATTCAGCTGTTTTAAAGGTACAGCTTCATGACTCTGGTATATTTAGAGTTGTGTGAGGATCTAAACTGAGACTGTTTCCATCATGCCCATCGGCAGGCACTTCCCACTTTCACCCACAGTCCTAGACGACCCCTGACCTACTTTCACGTGTCTGCAGATAGGCCTTTTCTGAATATTTCAAATAAATGAAAATCATGCATTATGTGGCCTCTGTGTCTGGCTTCTTTCACTCAGCATAATGGTGCTGAGGTTCCCGTGGTGACTGTGTTCATTTATTCTGTCTTCTCTTCCCACTACTCCCCTGACATCACATTAAACCCTTCTACCGCTGCTTAGGGTGCAAATGATGAGAGATGGGCTGAATAAATAACATACATATGCACACAATGGAGTACTATGCAACTATAAAGGATAAGAGGATCTCTGTGAACTGATACGGAGTTTCC